TCACTCAGGGAGGCAGAGGCAGGTAGATCTCTGTGAGTTTGAGGCCAGCGTGGTCTACAATGGGAGTCTAGGACAGCTAGGACTACACAGAGAAACCTGTCTCTAAAACCCAAAGAAAAAAATTCTAATGTATTTTTAGTTAATATGAATTGGTTTAAAACAAAATATAAACTATAATGTAAACTTAATATTCAAAGATATTGCTAACCTCTATTTCACAAAAAAAAAAAAAATCTGAGTTTTAAAAAAAGATCTGTCCCTGATATGCAGAAAGACTCCAATAGAAAAGAAACACAGTGAAGAACATTCTAGCACCTGCATGTTTGTATAGGTATTTTTCCTGGAGAGGTGATACATTCTTGTTACACAAAATTCAAAAGTGACAAAAGTAAACCAGGAAGGCTTCCTTTTATGCTAGCCCCATCTCCAAGGTAATTGATCTAAGGAGAGTCTCTGCACATAACGGTAATGTGCCTGTGTGTGTGTGCGCACGTGTGTGTGTGTAATATTTTCTACACTACCAGGACATTAGATACACTACTGCACATGTTGGTTTTTTTTTCTATTTACACTTCAGATACCGTACGGAGCTGTACACAATTACAAGTTCTCTATAGATAAACATTTCTTTCAAATCTTTTACCACTCCAATGATACTATAATAACCTTGTGTCTCCATTCTTAAATAGCAGAAAATCTATAGATACTGCAAAGATATGGGCCAATGGAAAAGATGTTCTAATTTTGATGGATATTAACAGTGCATTTAGACCCACTTGATTAAGGCATGACCCTGTTTTGTGCACCTGTACCAACCGTGAGTCATTTCCATTTCTCTTAATCAGTCAGGCTACACAAATTTCATATATTAAGATTCTCAGAGCATCTTTTTTTCCCCCCCAAACAGCTTAATGGATACAGGAAAAAAATAAGATTTTTTTTATATAGTTTAAAGGAATGCCCTAAACTATTCAAGAACTGTTGGTAAAAACAACTTTTAACTGGATTCAGATAGGCAGGAAGTAGAAGGGGGAAAGAAAAACATAAGCTTATTTCCAGAAGGATAGAGTGTGGGAAGATGGACTCTTGTTTGAGAGAGACAGGAAAAAGCAAATATAAACATATCCTTTTAGGTTTCTGAAATTTAAACCACTATGAAGAAGGAAAAGCCAATTTTTCAATACTGGAAATTGTAATAGGTCAGCCAAATATAAGCTAATTCTCTATGTATTTCTAGAGAAAACAGGACAGGTTTTACAAATTAGATGACAGCATGGACAGATGTTTTTTCTTTTAATGAATATGTAATTATTTATCTCAGTATGATTATAAAAATTTAATCTCAAGCTAATAATATCATGTATAACATTAAGACTGAAATAAAATTTAAGATAGTAACTAAATAATAGTGAAATAAGGTATTCTCCAATGTGACAAGATCACTGTCATGGTTCCTAACTGGCCAAAATCTTGGAAACAATGAGTGGAGGGAAAACCGAAGCTGGACAGTAACAATTTATAGCTGATAGCCTTAACAGCAAAGTGAGGCACAAAACAGAAGCCTTCTTCAAATCATTTATATTTGACCACTTTCTTTTTTTGTTTTGTTTTTCAAGACAAGGTTTCTCTGTGTAGCCCTGCCTGTCCTGGAACTTGCTTTATAGACCAGGCCGGCCTCAAACTCACAGAGATCCACCCGCCTCTGCCTCCAGAGAGCTGGGATTAAAGGTGTGTGCCGCCACCACCCAGCTCTTAACAATTTTCAAACTATGATTTTCTTTTCAGATTACTGAGTGTGGTTCAGGCATTCTGATCACGCTATAGATTTGCGCTTACTGTGCATTTTCTTTATAAGAAAGCCCCCAAGCAGGGTTTCCCCGTTGTATCTGAATACTAGGTCAAGGTTTCTTTAGAACTCTCATAAGACTTCCCCATTCAGTAAACAGCTGCAGAATTTTTTTTTTCAGAGAAGAGGACCAAAAAGCAGATGAGAGGCTTAAAAGGAAAGCACATTAAAAGAGTTATATTTCAAGCAAATCCAGTGACCACACGGCCCAGTTTCTCTTCAGCACTTAAGAGGGGGACTCAAGACGCTCCTCAGTGATCATTCAGATAACACACCTTGTACGAACATGCTATGACATAACAACCAACTATCAACATAGTAAAAACACAACTACTCTTTAGGGAAGCCACAGGCAAACAAACAATTAGCATGTTAATATAAGACTCAAGATAAAAAAATTAAAATACAAAAACAGAGTCTTTTTAGCATCAACTTCCACCACTCTGGACCATCCAACAGGGAGCTACCAAATTTCAAATCCTAACTGACTTAGCTTGAAACCATCACATATGAAACACTTCCGTCTGTGCAGAAAAACATACTGCACTGCTCTTACCCCTGCATTAGAACCATAAGTTCAGCTGACCACCTCCAGTCCTCAACATAGTCATCTACAGCAAGCCAAGTTCTTGCTGAGATCATAATAAACACTGCCCCTTCTGTTCCCCAGAGCTCAGCAGACTTCAAAATGACCTGCCTTTAAATGATGTAACACACATTCCTCAGAGAGTTTCATGATATAAGGAATGATTTCTCTCTCCTCTGGGGAAATAAAGAACCCAGGTGCCCCTAAATTAAAAAAAAAAAAAAAAAATCTATTAAAAACAATCACAGTTCCTAAGACACTCGGAACACCATGACCACTACAGCCTTTCGCTTATACAAACATAAAACCATAGTTTTACCAAAACCTCAGCAACAAATATCAAGGCTACATGTTAAAAACAAGTTCTCGTTATTCTGGATGCTGACAAATTCCTGAAGGAATAAAGTACGTCAAAAGACTCAAACCCTCAATAACAATGAATATAAAGTAATATCCATTCATTTTCCCTGCTGTCTTCTAAGTGAAAGTGACAAAAACGTCTTTCTGTTTTATTCCTTCTTAGTGTCTCTACTGTTACCTCAGCAACTTTTCCACTGGAAAGTGGCAACAAACTCGCAATTTTGAGCAGTTCTAAAGTTTACTCCCAAGTCTATAAAATTCTGGTCCGAGCAGCAGTCCCACTGAGCTTTGCAGACACAGCCTAAGTCTAAGCCGGAGTTTCTCTCAAAAGCAACATTTCTGACATCTGAAGCAGACCTTCATGGCAGGACATTTTAACAACACGTATGGCTTAGAGTTGTCAGTAATAGTTGCCTCCAGCTCGGATAACCAAAAATGTTTCCAGATATTGCCAGTCTAGTTAAGATTCACCACTTTAACCCAAGGAGCATCCTTGGTTATCTCAGGTATTATTGGCTGTTCAAGGCAAATAAATCCTTGAGAACTTCACCTACATTCAGCCTGTGTTTGCAGAACTTCCAGCCCAACAAATATTTTAAATACAAGGTGTCAAGAGTACTCCAGAAATATGTTAGAAAACAGATCCAATATAAAACAAAGACACTCAAGTATGTTCACCACGAACACGTGAGGAAATAAAAGACAAGTTAACCAAGTTAACTTGTGCAATTTGTAAATATTGGTACATATTGGAGACAGATGTTTAGGAGATATATGCTTCTAATAAGAGCTTATCTGCTTAATCTTTATAATCTTTCAGAAAGTAAGCTTAATTTTTTTCCCTTTTCCTTTTTTGGTAGTGCTAGGCCCTAAGCCAGGGCCTCACATACGAACTCTACCACTGAGCTATATCCCATCCTGATTAGAATTTCTATAACCATGATATCAAATGTTACCATAGAGCACAAAATTTAAAAAATACAAAGGACAAAATGTGTTAGAATGTTTTCAGTAAGAATATACTCACCAGCAAGAGTTTGATGGTTCACAGGTTGTGATGGTTCACCCGTCACATCTTACAATAGGGAGATGTTTATGATACTCGTAAAGAGCATTATGTTGAAAGATACAATAGGGAATACCTTTGCAGCAGCTCTGGTAATTTAGCTGAGCAAAACCAGTCCTAGACAACTGCTTTGTACAGCAGGCATGTTGGGTTTCACATTAGGTTCTTTAGTCACAGCGGCTCATATAATCCTCCCACCAATGCTGTAAGGCAGAGGTACTTTTCGTACCCACATCTTATAAAAAGAGGAAAATCGGGCATGGTTAGAGAAATTAAACCTCTTGTCCAAGGTCACTAAAAGTGAGGATCCACACTCCAACCAGGCACCAAGAATCCACAGCGGTGCCTCAGTCACTGTACTTTACGATGCTTTACTCTCAGATCTCCAAAACCAGTTACTTGCTACTTAGTGGGACCAGCTCTCTCCCCTCTGGAGTATTCTTTCAGACACAAGCCCCCGTGATGCTCACGAGGCTCAAAGAAAACAGCTTGGTAGACTGTCCCTTTAGTCTTTGGACACTTAAGTAAATTCACACGAAGGAACTTGTGTGGTCTGAAATGGAGACAGACACTGGCTCAAGCAAGAGAAGGGTGGGTCTCAGAGAAAGAGAGATCCCCAAAATTCCTACTGCAACCTCTAGTTCCTGCCTTTGCTCCGACTCCTTCGGGACCCCAAAGCCTCCCTATTCTGGCTGCTTTCCATCTCTCCCACTCTGAAGGGCTCGGCGACCACGATGGCTGGGTGCGGGGGGCCTATGCTAGGGCAAAGCGGGGTTCTGACAGAGGAAGGCGGGCGCCCAGGTAGACGCCGGCAGGAGATAAGCGCGGAGAGGTTAGCGTGGGGACCAGAGGTGAGGTCGCGCGGAGAGCCAAAGGCAGGGGCGGGAGCCGAGCGCGGGGCGAACGGAGGTGGGATGTGGACCCCGACTGACGCCGAAGAGGCGCGGCGGAAGGAGCAGGACTGCCAACCGGGCTGCTCTGAGAAAGGAAGCGGGACGGGAACCAGGGCTTTCTGAAAGAGGGGGAAGAAAATGAGCTCGAACGCAGCCGTGGCCCCCGGGGCGGTGAGGAGACGGGTTGCCGGAGGTGCACGGCCCCGAGCCGTGGGGCACCCACCCTTCCAGCGCCCCGGCCTTGCGTACCTGAGGCGGCCGCCTGGCTCCCCTCCGCTCCCCGGCGGTCCCCGACGCCGCCCGCCGACCCACGGCGGGCTGCGGGGCTCCAGAAGGGCGGCCCCTCAGCCGCCTGCCTATCCGACATCTGCAGGCGGCGCGCGGAGCGTCTCCGCAGCTGGCCGCTTGCGGCTCCGGAAACAGCCGAAGGCCAAACGAGCGCGGCAGCGGAGAGCCGAGCGGAGCCGAGCGGAGCGCGGGGCCGGAAGGAGCGGCGAGGCGGCGACGGGGCTAGCGGCCAGAGCTCTGGTCTGTGGAAGCTGGCGACGGGGACACGCGGGGGCGGGGAGCAGGGAGGTTACTACGTGCTTTTTGTCGCCTGTTTTTACTCTCAGCACTTGCAAGGATCGACAAAATCTCGGGAAGATTCAGGATAACACTGCCGGAAATCGTGGTATCCATAGAGACGTTATAGGAAGTTGCGGTTGCTAAGAGGCCTTGGGCATATCGACTGACTGCGCAATGGCTAAAGTCCCAGAAAATTATGAATCCGATCCCGAAGAAGATATGACACTACTGTCTGAAAGAACTAAATTTCGTAGTTCTCATAAGTTGCTTACTGCTGAATCAAACACCACGGCAGTAGTAAGCCCTGAGCTGCCCCCTGAGATTGACCAAGAGCCAGAGGAACTAAACACTCAGGAAGGTAATTTTGAAGAGGGGAAGCCAGGGAGTGCAAAAAACGTGCTGCTAGGGACAACCAGGACGTCTGACGAAGAAAATCTCAGTCAGACCAACGTGGGCCTATCTAGCAAAACTGAACCAGAGATAAAACAACTGTTGGAGTTAGAGACATCATGGGGAGCAGGAGAGGATTTGGAGGTGCCCATAAATGAAAAGCATGAGGAGCCAGACCTACAAATACCGGCTGTTTCAGTAGATGTACTCACAGAACTGCCTACTGAAACAAATACACAGCTACCAACAGAAGTCAAGATTCCAGAGGCAGTGAACAACGAGCTGGAGTTACCAGAAGAGACTGGGCAGTCACTTACAGAGAGAGATAAAGAAATAGGTCCAGAGCAGAGCACACCAGATTTTCCAAATAGAAAACCAAGAAGTTCAATTGAAGAGGATGATCTATCAAAGATGGGCAAATCAGAGGCTACAGAGAAGACACAAGAAGAGTCAGCTGAAGAGAAAAGTACAGAGCCATCTGAGGTGACTAAACCTGAGTTCCCAGACTGGAAGCTAAGAAAGTCTTCTAAGGAAGCAGATCTCAAGCCTCCAGATGAGCTTCAGGTCAAGTCCTCAGAGCATTTAGGCACAGAGCAACCTGAGCAGGTTGAGCCAAAGTTTCCAGACAAGAACCAAAGACAGTCACCTGAAGAGAAAGTTGCAGAGCACCTCGAAGAACTCAAACCAGAGCTTTCTGAGGAAGAATCAAGAAAACCAATGGGTGAAGCAAGTCTAGAGCTATCAGAAAAGACATCATCAGATGTTCCAGAAGAAACACGAAGAAAAACTTTTGATGAAGACATTCTAGAAATACTAGAAGAGACTGCTGCAGGCCTAGCAGAAGAGAAACAACCAGATGTTCAAGGAGAGACACAAGGAAAGTCAATTGAGGAGAAAGTTCTAGAGCCATTAGAAGACAGGAAACCAACAGATCAAAAGGAAGAGCTGATGAGGTCAAGTGAGAAATCTAAATCAAAGGAAACATTAGTAGGGTCACCTAAAGGAAAGGGTCCAGTGCTACAACAACAGACTGAACCAGAATTTCCAAAGAAAAAACTAAGAAAATCAACTGAAGGAATAGGTCAAGTGCCACCACAGATGACCAAACCAGAAGTTCAAGAGGAGTCACAGTCAGAACCAACCAAGGACGAAAATCTACAGTTATCCGATAGAGACAAACCAAGAGAGAAAGAATCTCCCAAGAAAGACAGCTTAGAAGAACCAAGGAAATTAAAGTATCCTGTAGGCAAAGATGAACTAATATACTCTGAAAATTATAGAAAGTCGTCAGAAAAAGAAACTAACAAAGCTAAAACTGAGAATGCAGTACAATCTCCTAGAGAAAGTATGGAATCCTTTGGTACATATTATGAACTCCCTGAAGTCCCCAGAGAACCTCAGGCTGATATCAGTGAACAGCTTTTAACAATTCCTGCTTCACAGTCTCGGGTGGAACTTAGTGTTTCAGTTAGTGACAAGCAATTTCTAGTTTCACCCCAGGAGTTGGAGGACTTGGAAGAGAGAGAAGACAAGATCAATGATAGTATCGGCCCACAATTTGAGCACCTACAGTGGAGTCCAGAGAAGGTTGCAGAGTGGATCAGTGAGCTAGGCTTCCCTCAATATAAGGTATACAAAAACAGTGTTTTTTGATATCACATGCTCCAGGCCCATTTTTCCCTCTATACTGACATGTTTGTTCTCTTGCCTCTGTTTCACTAAAACTACAGAAAAGTCCTGGACTGTGGGGGAAGTAAATTTGGATTGTGTGTGTCTTTGTCTGTCCTGTTTGTGTGGTGGTGAAGACTGGACCTAGTGCATTAGCACATATTAAACATACATTTCTGACTATACTTGATATATATATATTGTAGTTTAGAAGAAAAAGTTGTGTTTGGTTTTTCTATTCATCACAATGATAATTCTCTTCATTTCTTGAATAAAGGTAAAAATGTGTAAAGTCCCCTTTTCATAGAAATCTATAGTTTTAATACATTTTGTCAAAATTAGGTCCTTCTGCTCTTTTATCAAGATGTCTTAGTGACAATTCCCTTTCCCTGAATTTGTACTGTTTCTCTTAACTGTCTGCCAAAATATGTCATATGTATCATGAGCAATTAAGAGTATTAACACATCTTTTAGCCCAAATTGGTTTTATTGAAAAATAGTGTGTGCTTCTTAATTTATTGATCCCAAATGTAACATTAGGTTGCCACACATACAAAACACAGGATTTGAAACCTTTTGTACCTTCTGTACTTAAAAATGTCCTTGAGACTGATCATGGTGGCTCATGCCTGTAATGCTGGCATTCAAAAGACAGAGACAGATTGCCCTGGTTGGAAGCCAGCCTGGGTTGAAAACTGAGTTCCAGGTCAGCTGGAACACAGAGTGACAGCTTTCCTCAATCCTGACCTGCCAGATAGATAGATAGATAGATAGATGCATTGGCACAGGAATTAAAAAATGGTCAACATGAAACATGCAAAAGCAGATTAAAGCCACAACATGAAATTTAAACCAGTACTTTCATAAAATAAAAATGTGTTTTTGTCCCTTTTTTCTTGCCATAGTACATGTTTAAGTGATGTTCCTCTTATACTGACAGGAGTGTTTTACTACAAACTTCATCAGTGGTCCAAAACTTATCCATGTAAACTGCTCTAACCTGCCTCAGATGGGAATAACTGATTTTGAAGACATGAAGGTGAGTTGTGTCCTAGGTTTCCTTGTGGAGAGTACTATGACAGTGCTACTTACAATCTATCCCATGTTACCCTGTGTTGGCCTACTGTATCATCATATTCTCATCCCTCAAGCTCACAGTGGTTGCTTCCTCCCTCTGTTTTGATCCCTGCAAAGGTAAGAGCTGTCATTTCCTCCTGTGGCATGTACACTGTATTTTAATAGCTTCCTGGCTTCCTGCCCTTAGCCTTACTCAGTAAGCCTGCTGGATTCAAAGGTTCTGGTTTTAGGCTTTTGGTTTCCAATCATTTATACACTGTTAAGAAACCCTCTCTGATCCCCGTGGTGCAGGATAGTCCCAACTCTTGGATTAGTATTCCAGGTCCTCCAGCTTACTGTTCTCTTCTGGCTGCCACTCCCTGGCCTGAGTCTTCTCCAGCCTGCCAAGTGTTAACTCACAGCCTCAAGCCTGCTCCTGCATGCCTGCCTCTATTGGATGTCTTTGCTTGGTCCCCTTCCCAGGTAATATGACCTTGACCATCTTTTAGAACCACTTTCTCCTCATCTCCACAGGAAGTTGTTCTTGACCTTGCTGTTCCATAGTATCCTCTCCTCCAGAGCTCTCAGGAACATTTTATGTCTTTGATAGCCATTTAGTACTTATGTAACATCATCTGTGCTTTACCTACTTTGCTGTCCAATTTTCAAATTACATTCACCTCTTTAGGTCTCATCTATTTAGCATTAACTAGTCCATGACAAGTCTCCTTGTTTTGAGCATTCTTTCCAAAGCCATGCAGCATTTAAGAACTAAGAACTTTGACTCTTTGAGCCACATTTTTGAGTCCACCAAATTCATGTTGCTCAATTAACATTCTGATTCCAAAAGAATAATGTCAATGGACTGAACTCAAAATTCTGAGCATAGTTTTTCTGCTGTGTGAGAAATAAGAGGTCTTAAAAATCTAATGAAATCCTCAGCAGTAAACAATGAGCCTACTTATTATTGTATCTCAAGAAGTTTGAATAAGCAAACTTTGGCATACTTATGTAAGTGATCAGAAAAATACGGCTTCTCGATGAGGTCACTAGAGTAGCATAAAACTCAAGTCATTCAGTAGACACCAAAGAGCTAACTTTAGACTAAGACACACATTAACTTCCTAGAGATAATACATTCTTTTTTTTTTTTAATTTTTGAAGCGTTTTTCTTTTTTGAAACAGTGTCTGGGCTGGTCTGGGACTCACTGTGTAGCACAGGCTATCCTGTAACTCATGCTACTCCTTCTGCCTTATTTTCACAAGCTAGGATTACAAGCATGAATGTTGATCAGCTATAATTAGCCTCCTTACTAGTAGACACACCTGTTTATTTCTTTCTTGCTTGCTTTGGTTTTGCAGTGCTGGGGCTCTGGACTCAAGGTCTTGAGCACATTCCACCCTATCACTAAGCCATACTTCCAGTCACTGCATGAAGCACCCTTAATTCCACTGTGATTACAGCAACAAATACAACCACAGTTTCCCTCAGACAGTACTTATATCAGTCTTATTTATATTAAAACTAGGTTAGACGAAAGAACAGCACACTTCCTTTGGTCCTCTCTCGGAAAATAATTCCCTCCCTTTCCCTGTTAGGTGTGGCGGTACACACATGTAATCCCAACATGAAGGCTGAGGCAGGAAGATTATATACTCAAGGCCGGCCTGGGTGACTTAGTGAGACCCTGTCTCAAAACAAAATTAAAAGGGTCTTAGGTGCATAGTAGTACAATATCTTTAAAGCCCTGCGTCCAATCTCCTTTACTGAACAATAAGAAAAAAGAATTTCAAAATTTAAGAACTCTGTGACAAACTGGACAGTGGTGGTGCACACCTTTAATTCCAGCACTTGGGAGGCAGAGGCAGGCAGATCTCTGTGAGTTGGAGCTCAGCCTGGTCTACAGAGTGAGCTCCAAGACAGTCAAGGCTACACAGAGAAACCTTGTCTCAAAAAATCAAACAAACAAACAAAAACCCACAACTCTGTGACAAATATTTGGAGAATAATATTACTAGATTGCTTATTTAGAATGAGTTATTTATGATTCTGAAGTATAGCTTTGAGCCAGGAATTATGAATGGCTGTACTCAGGCATGATGGTTCATGCCTGTAATCCCAACACTAGGGAGGGTAAGGCAGAATGATGATGAGTTCAAGGCTAGCCTGGGATACAGAGTTTAAAGTAAGACTGGTTCTTATAATGAGACCCTGTGTCCTCACAATCAAAGTCAATCAATCAGTCAAAACACAGCCTTATAAACTCCAGACCATCTCTGCAGCTTTAGTATATTTTGCCTTTCTGTAAACTATTTAACTAGCAGAGACTCACAGCAACATTTCAGTAATTGTCACTAGATAAAGAACAGAGGCCAAAAAGGACACCTGAGTACCTGGAGCTAGAGTTACAGGGGGTAAGAGCCACAGGACATAGGTATTGGGAACCAAGCTCCAGTCCTCTGGCAGAACAAAAGGTACTGTTTTAAAATTGTAAAAGACTTATTTTTTATGTACGTAGGAGTTTTGCCTGCATGTATGTCTGTATGAAGCTTTCAAATCACTGGATTACAGAAGTTATGAGCTGCCGTGTAGGTGCTGGGAATTGTACCCATGTCCTCTGGAAGAGTAGCCAGTGCTCTTAACCTCTGATCTGTCTCCTCAGCAACCTAAAGATCTATTTGTGTGTATGTGTGTGCAGGTGTGTGTTTGCCTGGAAGGTCAGAAGAGAGCTTCAGCTCTCTTAGAGTTGGAATTACAGGCAGTGTAAGCCTCTGAACATGGGTGCTAGAAGAGCAGCAAGGCTGCTGAGTCATCTCTCCAGCCCCTTTCTTATTCTCATTTTTTAAAAAAGATTTTATTTATAATTTGTGTGTGCCCTTAGGGGCCAGAAACTTTAGATCTCCCTAGAGCTAGAGTTACAGGCCATCATGACCTCTGATGTGGCTGATGGAAATCCACTTTGCTTCTCTGGAAGAGCAGCCAGCACTTCTAACTGCTGACTTCTCTCTCCAGTTCCATGTACTCTGAGACCAGCTTCCTCTAATGCTAACTTCTTATACAGCCATGAAGTATGTTTATGAAATAATGGGTTTTATTCAAATTCTGCAGTTGTTTACACTGATTTTTATTGTTGTTGTTTTAAGATCTGATCTTAGACACTACCCTGTTCTTTAACTGGTCTCATCTAGTTTGGGACATTTTTTTATTTTTCTATTTTTCATAACTTTAAGCTTTCGAATTTAGTGATCAGGTATTTTGTAAATTTCCTTTGACTTAGCTGGGTGTGGTGGCTGTTAAGTTTCAAACCTGGGACAAATGGCTGAGGAATCTATTTAACATGTCAAAGTGGACCTGGCCACCAGGCTCTCCCTCCATCCCTCAGTCCCTACCTGTGTGTGGTGGACATACCCGGCCCCCTACCCTAAACTTTCCAGCCCAGAGGGTGGGCTGTTTTTCCCTACAGGCTCTTCCCTATATAATCCAGATATTTTGGTTACCTGCCCTCTTTGTACCTTTGGCCTTCTGGCTGATGCACCCGGTTCCTCTCTCTCCTCTGTCCTTTGCCCTCCCCTACTGCCTTCCCCTCAGTTTCTTCCCATAGGGCTCAAGGTCTTAATTACTCTGGACTCTCCCAGATGTGTCTGCCTCTGGCTATGTCTCCCTTTTATCTATAATAAACCTTCTCTTCCACCATACCTAGGAGCAATCATGTCCTTTCCTTTCCATTTCTTTCATTCATCAGTGCACACCTTTAATGACAGCAGAGGCAGGGATTTATGTGAGTTTGAGGCCAGCCTGGTCTACAGAGCAAGTTCCAGGATAGTCAAGGCTACACACACACAAAAAAAACTTGTCTCGAAAAACTGAAAGAAAAAAAAATTTTCCTTTGATTTTAGTTCCTCTAATCTTTCCCATATGACACTATGTCGATGAGAGAGGCTATCACAAGGGCAATGAGTCCTTATCATATATGGGGACATGGTATCAGAGATTTGTTATTGGAAACATGAAAATGACCACTTGAAGGCGGTGTTCGCCTGGATTTCTCCATCTACAGTCACGTTTTCTAATGTATTCTGCTTTTAGGAATGAGGTACTAAGTCTAGTTTGCATTCACAGAGAAGAGAATTACACTCTAACTCCTTGACAGAGGAATGTTGAAAATGTATGGACTCAATAGTAAAATTATTATAATGACAAATATGTTGGCAAAGATATTATGATTTGAAGCTGTATAGATGGCCTGCTTCTCCTTAGGACTTTGTCTACTAATGGTAGCATTTATCATGAGATAACCATGTTGGGTTTTTGTTTGTTTGTTTGTTCTGTTTTTTGTTTGTTTCTTTTTTGTTCTTTTGGTTGTTATTTGTTTTGTTTGTTTTGTTTTGTTTTGTTTTTGAGACAGGCTGTCCTGGACTCACTTTGTAGACCAGGCTGTCCTGGACTCACTTTGTAGACCAGGCTGGCCTTGAACTCACAGAGATCCCCCTGCCTCTGCCTCCCAAGTGCTGGGAATAAAGGTGTGAAGCACCACACCTAGCCTATTTGTAACTCTCTATGACTGTGAGAAGCCTGGCTCTTTCTATGTATAAGCATGTATCTTTTTAAGAGATAATTTTATAAAATAAAGTATAATGTTTGTGTATACTTGTTTTGTCTTTAAGATTATATATAGTATCTATACAAAGCTCCATTCTCCAGAGTTAAAGCAGCTTATATTAGCCTCTTTCCTTCCTACCACGGCAGAGCAATTATACAGTAACTTTGTAATTGGCCTCACCTTTTCAGAGTTTCATGCAGTAAAGTCATTCTTTGTTGTACACAGTTCTGTGGGTGTTCATAAATGCTCAGAAGCATGTACCTACCACCAAACTACCACATAAAACAGTTCCCTTGAATTCAAACTTCTGGGTCCCCATCACTGTCAACTCATCCCTCTGCTCTGATTCTTGGCAATAGTTAATTTATTCCTGAAATGGAAAGCTGGGTGTGCCTCACACTGCAATTCCAGCACTCAGGCAGATGTGGCGCTTAAGAACTTAGTTTTATAAGACCATTTTAGTAAGCCTATTAGTGGTTTTCTACCACTTTTTCTTTCATTGAAATAATTTAAGCAATTAGTATTCAAGAGACATGGGAAACTGAATAAAGCTTTGAGTTTCTTGTATTTTCAAGTTATTCTCACAAAAAAAAATGTCTTTTCTTTCAGAAAATATCTCATCATACTCGAGAGCTTCTGGGAATCACTGAGCCACTATTCAGCCGCAGCATCTGCCTTCCCTACAGAGACAATATTGGCTTATTTTTAGAGCAAAAAGGTCATAGTGGATTGAAGTCTGATTCCTTGACCTTGCCTGAATTTGTTAAAGCATCAGGATTAGAGAAGTATGGTCCAGAGATTAAAGCCATGGACAGGAATGGAGGCTCACTATCAGACAGCCACCAAAATGAAAATGAGGCATCACTGCAAGTAACAGATTTGGATAAAAGTAAGATATTGCTGCACAAGGAGCAATAGGAAAAACCATTTCACTTAGCTTGAAAGATCAAACTACTGCTGGAGAGATGGCACAGCAGTTAAAAGCACTGGCTGCTCTTCCTGAGAACCAGGGTTCAGTTCCCAGCACCCAGACAGCAGCTCACAAAAGACTTTTAAGTCCAGTTCCTGAGGATCTGACACTCTGACACAGACATACATGCAGGCAAAACATCAGTACACACAAAGTTGAAAAAAAATTTTTTTTAAAGAAAGATCAAACTAAGTTACCTGGGGGAAGAGGTATGATCTTTTCAGATTTTCTTTTTCTCCCTTTCATTAAGGATGAGAGTTAGAACTGCTGACTCCAGTCTTAATTCATCACTGACTCACAGCATCTTCCCTGTGTTAAAGACACAAATATTGGGCTGGAGTGTTGGCTCAGCAGTTAAGAGCACTGGCTGCTCTTCCAGAGATCTTGAGTTCAATTCCCAGCACCCACATGGTGGCTCATAACCATCTATTATGAGATCTAGTGCCCTCTTCTGGCCTGCAGATGTACATACAGACAAAACATATACACAGCATATATAAATAAATAAATCTCAAAAAATGATAGCAGTATTTACCTTCCTAGATAATTTTCAGAACTTCTGTTAAGTTCTAATATACCTAGTACTAGCGTTTATTAGGAAAATTACAATTGAAAATAAAATCTCAGCTAGGTATAGTACATACTTCTAGTCCTAGCACTGGGCATACAAAGACAGAAGGATCATGAGTCTGAGGCCAGCTTGAGGTCCATGACAAGTCTCAGCAAAATCACATAAATAAAATGTTTTTAAAAATAATCTCAGGAATTCCATGATGGCACTTATAAGATGGGGTGGAGCTTGTGAGGTCACACAGCTTGTGAGCTTGTAAGCTGTGTGAGGTCACTTACACTCCTGTATGTTGAACTGCCTGGGCCCTGGCCTAAATCAGATAAGGATGTGTCTTAGTCTGATTACAGTGGTTCTGAGAATAAAAATGAAGATGGAAGGACTGGAGAGCCAGCTCAACAGTTCAGAATGCTGAACTGATCCTGGTTCAGTTTGCAGCACCCAGTTACAACAACCTGTAACTTCATTTCCAGAAGAGGGATACAATGCCCTCTTCTGATGTCCATGATCGTCTGACAACTGTGCTAGACAAACTCATGCAGACAAGCATGCATACACAGTACATAAGACTGTAGAGGGATTTAATCCAGCACTATGCTACTCTGTCTGGAATATACTCACGCCCTTAGCACACACCTTTACTCCCTCTGGCTGGAATACAGGCATGACCTCAGTACTTACTTTTAATCCCAAACAATGAAGGTTAAGTTAGTATGTGAAAGAAAATACCCATTTTTGAAAGTGACATCTAATTGAAAGGCAGACAGAGTGACAGAATGAGTCAGGTTGGATACACTAAACTCTCACCAGAAGAGAGAGAAAAAAAAAGACTTAAAAGAGATCAGACAGAGAAAGTGTAGGATACAGTGGAAAAGGAGGCAGCTTTACCAGGAGAATTTTACAGATATAGGTTGAAGAGAGAACAGCTGAAGACAGAATGAGCCAAAAGATTAGAACAAATCTCTAGAGTTAGTTTGAGACCAAGCAGAACAATTCAGTCAGATGCTGAGAGAAGCCAGTTTGAATCAGTCAGCTTGGAGAGGAGTTTGAGCCAGAATAGCTGAGTTAAAACAACCAGCCAGAGTTCAGAAAAAGCTAGAAAAGGTGAGCTTATTCAGAAGTAAGTCTCAGCGGCTTAAAACATTCAGGCCTAGATTAGATTGCACAGAGGCTAGAAGCTTCTAGGACTAGGCCCGGATTAGAGACAAAGGCAGTAAGCCTCTAAGACAACAATTACCTCAGACAAATAAAAGTTGTATATAGATCTGATGCCCAAATGTGGGGCTGAAATGGAGGCCCCTGAGATTTAAGGGTCTCATGCTCTAATTGACTGGCACACAACATGGTTGGAAGAAAAACCCAAAATGACTGAAGAAGAAAGCCCACCAATGTTGTAGACAGCAGAGGATATCTGACAGAAAGCCACAGAGAAGAAATTCACATGGGATCATCTTCAGAGGAAGCATCAGTTCTTTGGGTTTTGCTAGACACCCAGAGAAACTCAGGAGACCCCAGAGCCATAGGAGCCTCGAGCCTAGAGCAAGGAACAACACAAGACCCTCTGAGACAGAAAGTCACTATAAGATACCCCAAAAGACAATTTTAATTATATAGACAGAATTTCCCTGCATTAAAAAAATTGGGAAATTCTAGGGCTGGAGAGATGGCTCAGAGGTTAAGAACACTGGCTGTTCTTCCAAAGGTCCTGAGTTCAAGTCCCAGCAACCACATGGTGGATCAAAACTATCTATAATAAGATCTGGTGCCTTTTTCTTGTGCACAGGCACACATGTAGGCAGAATGGTGTATAAATAAGTAAATAAATAAATACATTTTTAATAGGAAATTTCATTTCCAGTATCTTAAGACCAAGGGTAGGAGTTGATGGGATAGAGACATTGCATGAAAAAGCCATTGCAGTACTCATTGCAATTGTGGCCACCAGAGTAAACTCCTCCTTACTTTTATTTGCCCTCTTCATATATGTCCTTTAGAAAAATATTGAAAAAAAAATAGCTGTACAACAAGAAAAATTAGCTATAATAATACCAAGGCTTGAAAGACAACAGACAGAGGAAGTAAGAGAACAGGGAATGCTTAGTTGTGAACCTGTGCTTCCTAGTGAAATTGAAGATCAAGATAGTCATGCCACTGACAATGGGTAAAAAGCTGGCTAGCTGGTGTGGAGCCCAGCTCACTGGTGCAGAGTCGGGCATGAAATGCGAGTGCCTAAATGTCTAGTTTAAGCAGAGATTCATAAAGATCTAATTGTACTTTGATAAACAGGGGGAATAAGATTAGCTGAAAGACACTGGATTGTAGGGGAAAAAAAAAACAACTGCTGAATTAGATCAACCTGTATACTTTAAAGATGTTTTAACATCTGAATGGAAGTCAGTGTGTGACGTTGGGGAAGAGGTTTCGCCTGTATTTTCACAGGTGATGAAAGACTGTGGGTTCCATCAAAACTGATAAAGATCCAATTTGAATAAAAGAAGCTTCCACATGAAAGGCACAACTCAAAAAAGAGATGTGGCCAGGTATTGTGGCACACGCCTGTAATCCCAGCGCTCAGGGAGGCAGAGGCAGGCAGATCACTGTGAGTTTGAGGCCAGCCTGGTCTGCAAAGTGAGTCCAGGACAGCCAGAGCTACACAGAGAAACCCTGTCTTGAAAAACCAAAACCAACCATCCAAACAAACAAAAAGAAAACGAAAAAAAGACACAGAAAGACAATTCAGAAAGTTGAGCCCCCTCCCACCTTGCACAGAGACAGCTGAAGAACAGATCGTTCATCAGACTGGCAGATTGGAAAACCTTGATGCTGAAATGGACTCTTGCTGAAGGACAGATGAACAGGACTGAAGTTATGAAGGATCATTGCATCAATAGATCTTCATAAGGACAATCTGACTGTTAAGTTTTGGGGTTAATTGTTTCTCATACAATAGTTAAACTGTGTATAATTTTTAGCTTCAACAGAAAGGGGGAAGATGCAAAGGGATTTTACTTCAGCAACATGGCTACTCTGGCTGGAATAAAAACATGCCCTTAGTACACACCTTTAATCTTAAACAATGAAGGTAATGTTAGAAGCTTTCAGGACTAGCTTAGAGACAGGAGCAGTAAGCCTTCAAAACAACAGGCGAATAAGTTACATTTATATAAGACTATCAAATGGAGCTAAAAACAGTCAAAAATGTCAATTTTTAAAATGCTTTTTGTCTTTTCAGTTTACCATCTGACTCAAAGGAAGAAGCAATGGAGCCAGTAACTGGAAATGAAGAACATGAACCAGGTAACTAGTGACATCAGTGAAAGAACAGAGGTGAATTCGTGACAGTGGAAATAAGCAGCTTCAGGAAGGAAGAAAAGAGCTAGAGTCTGGGAAAGTCCTGCATATTCAGAGCAGGAAAAAAAAAAAAGATGAGAATGAGTGTGGGATTGTGTCTCTGAGGTCTTCCATTCATTTGCATTGGAGTTGATGAAATATTACAAGTAAACAGACAAGTGGCAGAAGAGCCTGAGAAACATCTTCATTGCAGCCCTGTTTCAAGCCAGGTGGAAAGAATCAAGGATGTACAAACACTCAAGTCAGCAGAGCCAGGGTTAGAACAGACAGGAAAGCACAAAGGCTTAATTACACACTCTGGCAGAAAAGGCCACTAAGAATTGAGCTAGGAAAGTCAATCCTCCACCTCTATAAGAAATGACTGAAGAACTGACAATAAATAAGAAATATAACAGAGAAAGTACACAAAGGCCTGGCAATTGGGCTTAGTGGGTAAAAGCGTGTGCTGTGTAAGCCTGATGACACTAGTCAGACCCCTATAGCCAATAGCAGAGGGAGAGAAACAATTCCCAAAAGTTGGCCTCTGTATGTATACTGTACCTACCTACATCTCACACACAAACACACACACACACACACACACACACACACACACAATCTTTTTTAAAGTGTCTCCTAATTGGACAAGTGGCGGTTGTGAGGGGAAAGATTTATGTGCAGTGCTTGTCTGGGCTGCTGCCCACCTTTTCTGGAAAATAACCCAGTTTTGGAAGCGTCTTTCAGGAAAGCTCATGGTTCCAGAAAGATATGTGCCAATCTGTTTTAAGGTTTAAGAGGAAACAAGTTAGGCTTAGAAAATAACAAAGAAAGTGAGCAATGCTTTGAACATATTTGGGGGGAACTTCTATAATACAATATAGAATAATAATAATAATAACCCTAGAAGCAGATAGTGTTGAAAGACGCACAAGCATTTGATCAGTGAGAAACAATAGAAACCAAAGTGCTAACACATGGAAACTGATATAAAACATACCCAAGTCTTGTGGGCCAAAAGGCTTACCCACTTGGAAGGAAAGAAACCACATGACTGAAGGAAAAAGGGTTTCTTCACTTACCAAGAAACAACCAATACAGGTTATATGCCAGAGGCTATCACATGATATTGCAGCCTTTATAACTATAAACCCAGGAAGCATGAATTAGAAAGTGCCAAGAATTCTCCACATGGCAACAGAATATCATAAATGTATCTAGATGAAGAATTAAGTATAGCAGGATAACTCTGTATCATTGTAGTAAGCCACCATGGAGGAAGCTAAATTCATCTTTTAAAAAGAGCAGATGTCTGTCAACTTCCACCATGGAGTGGGGAAAGAGCTCAGAAGACCTTGTTTCTCTCTGAGGATTTATAGTCCTATATTAAAGAGGGGGGTTCTCTGGGAGCCCCACTCCTCCCTGATGGTTCCATGGGCAGTTAATTTTACCGGAGGGGGGGGGCATTTCCTTCAGTGGTGACACTACTGATAACCCTAACCATATTCAAGAAATAGCCCCTCATCCATGCTCTTGTGAGTAACTCTAATTAAACTCATCAGTTCACTGAAAAAAAAAACAAAAACAAAACCATTTGATTCTTGAGTAAGCTTGAAACTGGCAGCACAGGTAAGCTGCTAACTTACAAAGACAAAGAAACCTCATTCTTTAAAACAGATACAATCTGTTACATACAGGTTAATTATATACAAATGGAGGGGAAATATTTCCATCTTGATGACAAACAAAAAGTTACTACTTGGCCCCACGCCCCTAGACTAACCACCTGCAGGTAGGGAAGCAGTCCCATCTACATCACGACTCACACTTCAGACAATGATGTCAAGGCTCCCCCCAAAAATACTGTTCTGAGTTACAAAGTTGGTAAAGAAAAAGAAAAAAAAAAAGGCTTATTTGACTTTTTTGAAAGATTCACATGTCTTCAAAATTAAAGATCTGTGTGTGTACTACATGTGTGCAGTCCTCAGGAAGTCCAGAAAAGGGCATTAGATTCCCTGGATCTGGAGTTAAAAATGTTTGAGAACCACCATTTGGGAACGGGAAACCAAACCCAGGTCCTCTGCAAGAGCAACAAGTGTTTCTAACCCCTGAGCCATCTCTCCACCCTCATATGCACCTTTTTTTTTTTTTTTTTTTTTTTTTTTTTTAGGACAGGACCTCTCACTGGACTGGGGATCACCAAGGAGGCTACGGTGGCTGGCTAGAGAGACTCTCAAGTATTCATCTATTTCTGTAATTCCTGTACCAGGATGACAAGTGTGCCCACCATGTGGGATTTTATGTGGGTTCTGGGGATTGAACTCAGGTCCCTGTGATTGTTCCATTAATTTTTTTGATCACTGGGACAAAATACTTGACAGAAACAGCTTGAGGAAGGAAGGGTTCATTTTGGCTCACAGTGTGCAGGTACAGTCTATCATGGCAGAGACATCTCGGCAGCCGGTCTTGTTGCATCTGCAATCAAAAAAGAGGAATGCTCAGCCTAGCTCTGAGCCCCTCCCCCTCATTCTCTTATTCTGTCCAGAACCCCAGTTCATACCATGGTGCTGCACAAGTTTAGGGGACCTTTATTTCTCCAGTACTCACTTCAATTAGCGTGATCTAGAAACTCCTCACAGACATGACGAGAGGCTTCTTGTTTCCATGGTCACTCTAAATCTCAAAGAGTTGACAAGATTAATAATCATACAAGGGCAACTTACTGGCTGAGCTGCACCCCCAACCCTCACAATCACATTCTCTAAAGTATAGTTTTAGAGAAAAAGAGGGGAAATGTTTTTCTTTAAATATCAGAGGAGAAAGAGAAACTGGCAGAGATGGGCAGGACTCTTGGTAATAATTCCCAGACCACAAAATGAAATAAAAACTGGTCAACTCATGTCTGGACTTCTCTAAAAAAATATTAAATACTTCTTAATTTTTTTTAATTTACGTTGCTTAAATAACTCGGGTTCCCATCTTTGTTTGTTTGTTTGTTTTGTGACTGGCTGGAACTTTAGTCTATAGTCGTGAAAGAACTTTAATTTCTGATTCTTCTGCCTTCACCTCCCACACCAGGCTGCTGCTTTTCTAGTTGCACAGGCTTAGCTGTTTTCTCTTGGCCTCACTACTTTTACATTTTTTAAAAGTTGTGTATGTAATATGTGGGGGCTTGCATGCCATAAAAAGGTGATTTGTGGAATTGGCTCTCTCCTTCTCCTCTTACATGGACTCTGGGTAACAAACTCAGATCATCTGGCTTGTATGGTGGGTAGCAATCACTGAGCCATTGCGTGTGTGTGTGTGTGTGTGTGTGTGTGTGTGTGTGTGTGTGTGTGTGT